GATGAGCTCGAGTATGATGGGCTGAAAAATTTGGTCGGCTTCGTTTGCCATAAATTGCAAGATGAGAGGTTGAAAAGTTCCTCAAATGAAACTTACTCCTGGATAGACCATCTTAGTGAGAGTGGATGATCAAAACCTTCCACAGCTTTCATGAATCAAATTGAGAAGCTTAATAAGGTGTTTACTACATTAAATGGGGACGGAATAGTGGCAGAAAAGCAAAATTTTATAGGCGAACTTCTGTTGAAGAGCAGCAACATTGACTGCCCTGAAAAAGCTAAGAAACTATTTTTCAGGTCAAGGGTGTTCCTCCGGATCAAAGAAGTGAATAAAGGTTTGAAAGACTAGAAAAATCGTAAAAGGAAATGGAGAAAAATTGTGGCCTAGACTAAGTCATTTCCATTTATTGTTATACCGCCAGCTTACAGCAAAATGATAACTCAATTTTTCTACTTTTCGAGTTGCGTACATTTTCACACTTGCATGTAGTTAGTACTTATTATGTTCTGTGAAATAAGGATTAATAAATGTAGTGCAGTATTAACGTCATGAGCATGTTAATCCTGCTCGACGGAACATACTAAAATATAGGTAATGTAGAAAAATCTTGTTTTTACAGTAGACGATACACACTCTATTGTGGAGCTAGAAAGTCGTTTAAGCTATGACCTGAGAGATAGGAATTACAAGGTTGAAATCTTTTATTTAAACCCGCCATTTTGTTTTGTATAAAATATTAATGTATCTAGTGTCACTCGCACCGCTAAGACGAATCCAACGACCCCCCATATGTGAAATTCCGTCCAGCCGTTTGACCTGTAGGTGAAAATATGCACGTTATCCATATCAACCGAAATGATAATTACTCTCAGCGTGACGTTATGCGCGCCGGCGGATGTAAATCGAACAGCGGAGCATCCGGCACTGGAGTACTTGCTGGGACATTTCAGTTTTGGGCAGAGCCACGGCCACCAACGGCATGAGTACGCCGCTACTTCGCTTCCATCGAATTATGCGGAGTATCCAAAAAATTTAACAGGAACTCCTCGAACCACCGCATGGATATTCCGTTTCGAAGTGAGATGGATCACTTCCCCCTATTGGAATAGCAGTCGAACGATCCTAGGTAGTCGTCTTCGGTTTTAGGGATAAACCTTGTGATACAGAAGTGGCGGAAAATTGGAAACTGCTTATGTACAAAGCTCACGTCGATTTTTGGATGAAAAATTGCTATCAGAATAACAGAAACGCAGATTATTGATTAGACAATCTGGGCCTGATATAGAAATGACGTGTTGTATATATTCCTTGTCTTTTCTGTGATCCTGATACAAAGTTTAGATGTGGCTTAAACAGCATGTTCGATCTGCTTGTACTATTGTCAAATCGGATAATGAGAAATTGCTATCAAGATAACAGACATTGGAGGAGTGGAGGTGGTGCTTAATAATTTTCAGATCTTTGTCGAGCCACACCCAAGAACTTAATCGCATTTTGACTTCAAATTTCGGGCTTCTCAACATTAGGAACCAATGAAGTTAGCTCCTGTCTGCCAGAAAGTTTAATCCCTACTGTCTTCTCACAAGCTAATTTGAAGCCATTGTCTTCCATCACTATGGTAATTCTCATGATTCCATATGCCAAAAGCCTTTATAGTGACTATCATCTCCAGCTTTTCAGCAGTCGAAGAATTCCATCGTAAAACACGTTCCATAGCGACGGCTCTAGGACGGAGCTCTGCAGCACTTCAATGGTTACCTCCATCATCTGTTGTCCTTACATTTATGCAAGTGTATTATCATTAAAATAACTCTTTATCTACCATTGTGCTGTAATAAAGGCAGTCTCAACATCAAAGGAAGCCATAACGCAAAGCTTCTTACTACTGTAGCTGCCGCTATAGGTTGCATCTGCTAGCTGCACCACTGGACCGAGTGCGTCTACGCTAGAGTTTCCCCTTTCAGTCCCAAATTCCTCCACGTATTTCTTAGCCTACCTTCTATATCTAATTCGGTTTGAATTGACCTTGTGAGATCTCTGGAAAAATCAAACTTTTTTATATACTTTGATTTCCACCCAAAGTGCCTAGAAAGCAAGTCGCATGAAAACCAGAACGCAGATCCGCATAGACGCAGACAGTGGTTAAACCATACTCTGGTGAAATATTTAGTTATAAATATATAGGTTAAAATTATTTGCAAAAATATTTTTCATTTAAATTTTTAGAAGAGACTGATTATTTCTTGGACAGTCTAACATTTACAGTTCGTCTATTCAATACCAAACATTCGAACTACTATACCAGAATTTATCAAACAACCTGTTTCTCCCTGAAGTGAGGTTTTACAAAATAAAGATGTTAACTTCTTTAAAAATCACACTAAACCGGAAATTTAAATGTTCGTAAGCGTGCCCCAATAGAAACACGGCACTTTTTATCTAAGATATATTGTTCTCACACTACTTTCCATGTTACCATTCGGTAACTAGGAGACCGCACGTTTAAAAGATCGATGCAACTTGGATTTCTCTTTTGAGTACCTTCTCCTGAGGTGGAGATGTTTACGTGTATACATCTCGTCGTTTCTGAGATCTTTCGTTTGTTTGTTTGAGATTTATTTAGCATTATTGCTACAATTACATTCTTCTAAAAAACTAAACGATTACATAACATACAGATATTTAGAAAAAAACTAAATTTGCATCTCTAACAATTTTCACTGTCGATGAGATATTCCTTTAATTTTCTTTTAAACGTCTGTAAATTACAAGTAGACTTTATACCATTATTTAGTTTATTAAATTCAAGTAATCCTTTCTGAAATGATGATTTGCTAGTTATATTACTATTGCAAATTTGTAAATGAAAATCTATATTTCCTCTTGGATAATAATTGTGGTAATGATTATTCACTTCTAAGTAGTGTTCTAAATATTGTGGCAAAAGATGATTTTATATTTTAAACATAATAATAAGAACCAAATATGATATGGAATTTTTTATATTCAACCACTGCATAGAATTTATTTTGGTGTACTTATTTTTATTCAATATTATTCTCATAGCTTTATTATGCAGGACTTGTATTTTTGAGAATACAGCTTCATTCTCAGTGAACAAGATAATTGAACAATATAGTAAATGCGGTAGAATAATTGTATTATAAACTATTTTCTTGGAATATGTACCAGGACTATGGGAAGCCCTATAAAAGTAATTTGTTTTTTGACAATTTTTCAAATATGTGATGTATTCATAGTGGTCCTCAAACGTTAGCTTACTATCAATACGTATACCTAACTATTTAACTAATTCAACATTTTCAATTATTTCACCATTTATCCTAACTGTGATAGTATTTTCATTTACTTATTTCCCTATTAGCATACATTTTGTTTTAGAAGAAAGTATTCAATTTTAGTGTATTTACATTTAACCAATTTATGATTTTTGTCAAGTCAGAATTTAGCATTTTTAAAGCAGTGTCAATATTTTCGTCTGATATGTATATTAAAGTATCATCTGTAACTATCTGAAATTTACAATCATCCAAAATATTACAGATGTCATTAATGTATAAAATAAATATATAGTAGTGGATCTAGTTTACTACCTTGTGATATACCAACAGAAATGTTTTTTGATCTTAATAATGTAGATCCGATTTTGGTTTTTTAACTTCTGTCAATTAAATAGTTTTGTAGAATTTTGTATACAGATCCTTTGAATCCATAGTGATGCAATTTTGTAAGTAATTTATCCCTGTCAATAGCCTCAAACGCCCTTTTGAAGTCGAAAAACACTTTTGCGGTATGTTTCCTATTGTCTATAGATCTCTTCCAGTCCTCAACCATTTGTTTTTCCGTCTCAGTTGAGTGTTTCTTCCTGAATCCAGCTTAAGATTTGGTGAAAATGTTATATCCCTCAATAAATTCGATGACCTGTTGGTAAATAATTTATTTATCGGCCGCATATTGGTGTACACTCAGAATTCTCAACTATAAAAACAGGAGTTATGGTAGAGCACTTCAGTTTTGTTGGAAATTCGCCATATTTTAAACAGTAATTTATCAGGATTAATAATCTTGCTGCAATAATATCAAAACATTCATTAAGCACACTTTTAGATAAAATCTCACTCTTATTTTGATTTGATTTAATTTTTGATATAACCTTCTTAAGACGATTAATGTTTATTGTTCTAAACCCACTGAATGAAGCATTATAATCTGAGCTAATGGGACATTGGTTGGGATCCTCGTCAATAATTCATCTTTTAATGTCGTTGACACTTTCTATGAAATAGGTATTCATTCGATCTGCTATTATTTTTTCATTTGTTATTTGTTATTACCCCATCGTCGAATTTCATTTTAGATAATGTATTTTTTCTAATAGAAGAAACAATGTTTTCAATGTTTTCCAACGCCTTCCAGATTTGTTTGCTATTATTTTTACTCTCATCAATTTTGGCGTTGTAATATTTTTTCTTTTCAACTCGCAGAACTGCTACAGATTGGTTTCTTGATCTTGTGTATTCTAGCCTATCATTTTCACTTCCAGTAATCATAAACTTTTTATAAGTGTAGTAGTCTATTTTTAATTTAGAATCCTTGAACGTCTGAACCAAGGTGTCGGATTTTTCCTTTTATAAATTGTTGTCCTGACTGTACTTTCTTTCATGCAAATTTCACATTATCCAATAGGCTTGTATAGTAGCTATCAACATCAACAAACATCATCATTCATATCTTGCAGTAAAAGAGCTTCTCGTAACTTTACATAGTTGATATTAGTAATTTCTTCCACTTTGTTAGCATCAACTTCAAAACATATCCATGAATGATCACTGATCTTAGGAGTATGCATAACTTTTGCAATTAAATTTTGTTCGTTCGCTATTATCATATCTATAATTGTTATATTCCATAGAACTTTCTTTTTGCCAAGTTGATGGTTTGAATTATATGAATAAGAATGGTGTGAATTTACTAGATCATCGCATAAAATATTTTATTTAAAAAATTATGTGTATATTCATATAATAAACAAATATATCTTCAACTAAAATGTATTTACAAGCAATTAAATAGTTAATTAGAAAACTACAGCCAGCTTTACTATTCGTGAGTTTTTGTACCATACACCAATTATATACAAATACATAAGAAATAACTAAAATGCAAAATGACGTCTGGCAGAGTGTAATATCTTCTTTGCCTATTTTTAAAAGTTTGAATTGAAATCATTAATTTGATTCAGATGATATGATCAAAATACCAAAGGAAACGTTTGCCAGGACTAAAAACATGAGAAAAGAAAATTGCTAATGCAATAAAGATAATTTATGACATACATGTAGTTTGATGTTTTGATATATATAACATTAAAGATAGTAATTATCAACAGAGCCTGTATAGATAGCTTTCGTCTTTTGCAAAAACTTAACAGTTACGTGCAGATTCTTCAACAATATGGTTATCATAAACCTAAGCCTAAATCTAATACAGTGGCACTAGAAATAAGCTTGTTCAACAAAACTTCAGTCAGTTTGATACCATACATTACATACTTTGCATTTTAAACCATAAAAAAATAACAGGAAATTCAGAGATTGGAACAATCTACACTAAAAAGGTTCATAGACATGAAATCACGTATTTTTCACCGACAAAGGCAATCAATCACAAACACCTCAAGTTTAACGTATTTGTGATTACAAAAACTCTGTAGTATTTGAGTTTATTCTGCAAGCCTAGAACATATACGTATTCAATAAACGATTGTTAATACGTTAGCGTTGTTGCCAATTGTTAGTTTTGACACTGAAAACCGTAGCTCTTAGAAATCAAATGCATCAAAACTTTGGTTCCTATATGTTTTATACAGATTCTACTTACTGGTATGTGTACATTATTTTCAACGATTAACCTAAAATATTTATATTTTTATATAACAATATATAAAGTAGCAACGACAGAATAAAAATTGCGCGTTTCAATTCCCGACATAGATTATTTTACAATTCTTTTTCTTCGCAATGCGACACGCTAAAACCAAATAACTAGATACGTAAATATACTGATTTGACTAGAATAGTTGATTTGATCCAATAAGATGCAGCTTTAAAAACACCTTTTTATGCTGTCATTACTAACGATAACGAGCTAATCTTTTTTTAGTTTTTCTCATACATTCAAAATCCTGAAGATTAGTTCGAGGACTATAGGACTTTCCCCAAGGTTGCTTGATGTTATTCTGGAAAAAGAAATTGATAAATTCTATATAATCACATACAAAAAAACTGAGAGATTAAACAAGGTATCCCATCATTGATTAACGTATTGTCGAACGATTTGTAACTGCTTCCCTATGGAATTGAGGTCTACTTCAGATATGATAATCAAATTGTAAATTGTCCCAAAAATCATTTTTTTTAAAACAGAAACCAACTATTTTATAATCTCATCATGTTAAGCAATAAGAATAAGAGTAGTTTTGTATACGTGTATCCACTTCACAAATTAGTAGTTAAGAAAATATTTGCAAATACTCCTTTTCTATCAGCCTATAGGGCTTTATTTTTTGTTAGTTCAGCATTGTTGACCATGGCGCAGTGAATGATCAGAAATGTTTTGTATGAGCATAAAAGGAGAAAAAAAACAACCAATTCGTGGTCTCTAACCTCGATTGTCCACGTAATATTCACTGCTACATCTTTTTTTATATACATGTTCTAGTTAAAATAAGTTATTTGGTACCTACTACCGGTACAACCGTAAGTGCTACCATTTTGAGATTATTCTAGTCAAATCAAGACTGCGTTCGTAAATTAGAGTAGTACAAAGTACACTCTGTAAAAATTTAAGCGTTCGCAATTGTTTGATGAACTTGTTACATGCGTTCGGAAATATAACAAAACAAAGCTCAGGAGCTCCAGGGAACGGTAAAAGTGCGCTTTTCCGTGTTCAAAACCTTACCATTTTCATAGTTCACTGTTTGTTTATTTTACTTGGTTATCAAAAACTGCCCAAAATTGGCAGAATATATATTTTTCACTATAAATGGGCTACCTCGTATCTATAGGGTCTTGCATAATAAATACAATGGTCCCAGAAACCGTAGTTAGAAATGAGTCAGCTGCCATCAAGTGTGATTACATGACTGTAATGATTTAGGCGTTCTAAAAATAAAGTTTTACAGTATTCCAGAGTAAAATTTCATATGCCAATCTACATTCCATTACCGTGTACGGTTTTACATTGCCAAGTGATTTATAGACGCACCCCTACTATACTATAATCCCAAGTTTTCATAATTGTCAAATGTCACCTTTTTAAGTAATCAATTGCTGCAGTTCTATGAAGGACACCATGTATATGTTAGGTTCAAACACCGATTTGGGCCAATGGTCGAAAAAAACGACCAGTACGCGTTCTGGCCACCAGCATATTGCCAATGTCCGAAAAATCGCTTTCTGGCCGTTTAGTATAGATCAAAATGTGTTCTGGCTATCGTCATATTGCCAGAACGCGTCGAGCATACAAACAAAACGTCCAAAACCCGATTTTCTACGAGTCTAAGCTTGTATCGAATCTAAACCACCCTACTGTCTACTACTCGCAGTAAATGATCATCGCGTAGTCGATGTACGTCGTGTCGGTTAACCCGTTCGATAAGCCGTGCAAGAATGTCTACTAGTGCCATGGATAGGTTCGTGTAAAAATAAGTAGATGTAGGTATGCCGATACCCCTAAAGCACAAGTTATTATGTAGTAAATGTTTTCTGTTTCTGCTAAAACTGAAGTTATTTGTTTATTTTTTATTTTGAAACTTGTTATATAAGCAATCAAATATATTTTTTTATATTAAATTGGCCTTTGGACGTTTTGTTTGTATGTTCGACGCGTTCTGGCAATATGACGATAGCCAGAACGCATTTTGATCTATACTAAACGGCCAGAAAGCGATTTTTCGGACATTGGCAATATGCTGGTGGCCAGAACGCGTTCTGGTCGTTTTTTTCGACCATTGGCCGATATCGGTGTTTAATCCCAACATATACATTTCTTTCAATGAAGATTTGGATCAGATTTTTGACCCATTTATTTTTTTTAAATAGATCGAAATATTTATAACCCATGATCATCACCTTTTAGTATATGAGGCGATTAGACGTTATTGATTTGAATCCGGTTGGATTTAAGTGCAGCTTTTGTCAGAATATTTTGGTTACCTCGATCTCGAGACACTGTGCGAGCCGTGGCATTGTAAATAATACAAACATGAAAACTGGATATTTTTAATAAATTTTAATCCCACCGAATACAAACAGAAGAAATGGCAAAATTAACCCATCAAAGTTGTGTTGTGAAGCTGTGACCTAATAATCTCTAGCATGATATAATAATAATGATCCACTTCTACCATAGGGGTTAGGCATCCGTCAGATACTTGGACTTATAAATAGATGGAAGGGACTATTTTGGTTTAGGGTGATTGATATACATTCATGGGCCATGCATCTTCGGAAGATATTTGACATATCGCGAGGCAACACTCTGCAAGTTATTAGCCTTCCATGCTTTCGGGAAATTTTGCTAGGGATGCCCCGTCCATCTATTTGTTAGGTCCAAGGTCATACGTGATGAAAGTAACCTTTATATGTTTTCGAAGTTTGACATGAATTGTACGGTAACGTTTTAACGACACCCAGTATAAAAATGAATACTCTTTCAATGTGTGAATTTCAAATTAGCTACACACGGGCGAAAAAACAAGGATAAGCCGTATTAGAGCTCGGCGTGTAAAGGTTTTCCGAATATCGACTTTCCACTCACATAAACGGTTTTTGAGTTAAACATCTTGAGGCCGTCTGTCACAATACTTAATTTTGTACATAATTTGGTACCAAATTTCGTGAAAAAATTCGTTACTGAATTTAGTTCTCAATCTGTTAACAAATTACAATCCTGTCTGACGTGTAAATAAATTTTTGTAATAAATTTCGTACGAAATCAATCGCAATTGGTAGAAAAAACTATATGTCAACATCTAACTGCCATTTATCAGGTCAAAGTCATTCTAACCACACTTTATTTGCGACTTGCTACTTTATTCCTTTATTACTTTAAACAAATAGACAATTAGAGCGTATTTCGCATATATTATATGCGACTATGGCAGCAGCGTTTTGCGTTGTAGCTGCCTACCTCATGAGAACACGAAGTAAACGAAACCGTAAAAGAATTTGGTGCCGAAAATGGATCAGAGAGAGGGACCTTGGCATGGGTGTGCTCCATATACTGAATAAAGAACTTCTAGTGGATGATCCTGGTTCTTAAGTCATTCTGATTTTATCCAACGCAACTTTTCTCTTTTTATAGGCCTTGCTGTTTACAGCATATAAACAATCATATTTCTCGTTTAGTAGTATGTCATACTGCTCTTTTGATCATGACATCTTTTAAGTTTTCAGTCATCTATAATCAGGGTAGTTTTAAGAAACTGATGAACTCAACTGATAACATCAACTAATGAAAGTGTTTGAGGTTATATCAGTCACTGTACTGCTCCAAAAGCGCAGGAATCGTCTGCACACTTTTAGTACTATATTATTTAGAACAGGTTCTATAAAATTTAGCACTAAATTTGTTAATACAAAATTATGTACTAATTGCTGTCTGATACTATCCTTAATTTTGTACGAAATTTAGCATTTATGTCGGAAATAGGATATCCTATACATACCCATTTACCGGAGTCATCGGAATATCGTGGCAGAACCGCATTTTTTCGCAAAATGTTTCAGATGAAAAGCTGATTATAGTACCTTGACTACAAAAAATGACATTGATTTTGAGTTTTAAGGATATTTGAAGGTACGACTTCAAAATAGTAAGCGGAATGCTATATTTTTGACACCGGACATGAAAAAAGCGTGAGATTTTACGGTCAGATATGATGTTGTCCGCAAGGTTAAGGTTAAGTTTCAAGGTCAAACGTAAATATCGGATTATTTTGAGAATGTTAAAAAACTGTGAAGGTCGATGTCAAAGATATTTCAAGGTCACAGTCAGATACCTCTTTTCCACCCCACTACCTTTGAAATACCTAATGAACAATACATTTTGATTTGACCTCAAGATGACCTTGAAACTTTGAGTTTGAGGTCATGATCATATCTGATCGTAAAATCTCCCGCTCTTTTCATGTCCGGCATCAAAAAAAGGGTATTCTGTTTACTATTTTGAAGTGGAGTTTTTTATTTGACCTTAAATGACTTTGAAATTTAACATTGAGATCAATATCATATCAGATCATAAAATCTCCTGCTCTTTTCATTTCTGGTATAAAAAATGGAGCATTCCATTTACAATTTTGAAGTTGACCTTCAAATGGGTTTAGTAAATATTTTTTTATGTACATAGCCACAAACATTTTTAGTGGTCACCTTGAGATTTTTTTTATTATATTATCCCACAATTACCTGTGCAACACGGGTACCAGTTCGTTGTCCAAGCTCTTCATATAAATTGGGGGCAACTTTGTGCCATTGCTCCCAGCAACGTAGGATACATTGTCCGGTTGAAGGGTGGCCCTCACTGCAATTTTTTGAAAGCTATTGGCCAGCAGGAGGTCCAGGTACTTGACCAACGCGTCACAGCATGCTTTGGCGATGGTCTCAGACAGTCTAGACACATCCACCGGATCCTGGTTCTTCGGGTTCTCCTGTCCGCTCTGGATCACGAACACCTCGGTCCATCGGATGATGCGGTTGCCATTCAACGACACATGGTTCTTACCGTTGTGTACTCTGGAAGGCAAGAAAAAACATATATTAGTTCAAGGATGTCTCGATAGATACTACGAAAATTTATTTTAAGACAGAGCCGAAATTTTTTGAAAAAAAGAGAAGCTTGTTTATATCATCAGAGTTCTTAAGTATGGGAGTTACGTTTTATAAATTCCCCAAATAACCATATCCGCCATTTCTAACCTGTTGGACTCAATTAAGTAATAATTTGAGAAATGATTTGATTCAGGCAATTAGTGCGTTTGTTTGAATAGGCTTTATCCTTGAGAAATCCTCAAAGTATGTCAAGTGGTGTTAAATTGCTAGTGGCTACAAGAAGTCACGCGGCCATCAGGAAACGTCTCTGTGAATATTCCAAAGTTTCCCGCGTCGTATGATACGTCACCCTATCTTGATGACAGCACATACATATTAATATTTTCGGCAATGTTTGCCGATGACATTCCACCATAGTCATTTTAATGAAAAAAGGTGAATTTACCTGGTTTAATCGGCGTCAAAACAAAAATGAGCACTCGATCACCGCTTTTATTCGCCTGTCGCTGCCTTCCCGAGGCATTCATGACCCACGATCCAATAGGAGAGCGCGAATTGGAACGTCGCGCACTAGTGTTTATTTTGACGGGGCGTAAATGAGATTTGAATGAACAATAGTACGTTTGCACAATTCTTGTGCGTTCCTCCGTCGTTGAACGTAATTAACTTGTGCTCATTTAAATCGCCACATATTTATAAGGACACTTTTTATATACATAGTTTGCCTCAAGCACTTAAATGAAGTGTTCATTTTTTAACGCATCAACTAGAGAACCAAAATGCTTACCTCATTGAAGGAATTCCACTCAGTGACAAGCCGTCGATAGAAGAAAGTATACCCAGATTGAAATTGACATCGTTTTCACCCCAGACGATATTGACTGTTTCATCTGAAGGAGAATTGACAGGACCACATGAAATCGTGTGATTCTTCATAGCTCTGAGGTGCTCTCTAATTTGCTGCATATGTTCTGGAAGAACCTATGAAACGACGTATAATTATAGAGAGGTGAATAATTGTCAAATATATTCAATTCAGTATACACAAATGTTAATAAAACAACGAGCACTCTAACCTTTTTAAGAATTCGTGAATGCTCTCATTTCATATGAAGGATAAGACATATGCAAACTGCCAAGAGTCAAATGCTGATTTATTTTTAAAATTATATGCTGTGGACGCGGAGGTATAAGCAAATCTAAGAATTTTCAGGATTAGCGTTCCCAGACTTCGTTTTTGTTTTTCAATTGCAGATAATTTTTTGAAGTGCTGAAAAAATGAAAATTTAACAAATCTCATACTTTTTGTTTCTAACCTTTCTGATCTTTTTGAGTGTAGTTGAAATACTTTTTAAGGTGTTAAAAATGATGACTCTTATATATCGTTGCAAGTGAAGAAGCTTCAATAGCTTGGTCTTTATTGATTTGTCAGTCCGCATATGTTGAATTTGGGCATTCACAGTTTCCATCGTCACAGTCGTGTTGCCAAGTAGGGCTGCAGAATTCCATTAGAAGTTATAAAACAGGACACAATTTTCTTTTAGAGATAATTATTTTTAAACATAACATCAAGCCTCAAGGGAAAGGTTATCCCTCACACGCTCCAAGCTCCCTCGTAATTATTCCTAAAGTTTCGTATTCTCAGAATTCTTCAATGACAGAAAATGAAACTATAACTCGCGGCAACAATCCGAGAGGAGTTTAGAAGAGGAATAGCTTACAGTAGTATAAAAACTATATCTGTCGAAAAAAAATTTAGTTATAAGGCTAATTATTGTAAATATAGGATGCAGATATGGATGTTTTCTTAGAAAAAATGAATCGAATATTATTTAATCTTCTAACAAAATTCAAAAAGTCGCAAATTTGCGTATGCGGAGATTTTAGTGTCAATTTCGTTTTGAAGCCAACAACTAGAAAATCTTTTGGGTCGTTTATCTTCCCAAAATATTGTACCGGTAATCAACTCTCCAACCAGAAGACATAACTGCATTAATAATATTTGTGTTAATTTTCCAAATGAACTCTACGAAGCTACGAAGATCCCAAATGGAGATCATGCTCTAGCTCAAATTATAGAAATAAAATTACAAAATATGAAATCCAGTCACAAAAATAAAATTATCACCCACAGGGACACAAAAAAAAGTTACTATCCCAGGAGAACTAGGAAGGGGTTTTTATTCCAGGAGATAATGTAAATAACAAATTTAATACTTTTTAACAAAAGGGCTTAAAAATTCTGGGCGGAGACTCAAGGAATTATATATAACACTACTAAATACAGTGCAAAAAAAAATCTATAGGAATCTCTTAAATAAAGCCAAAATGATGTACAATGGTAATTTAACATGAACATTTTTAATAATAAATCTAAAACCGCATGGAACTTGATTAATCCTAACAGAAAAACTAGGAACATAAACATTAGCATTGCGATAAATAATACTCAAGTAAATGACCCCAAAGAAATTGCAGAACAATCCATTAATTACTTTAATTCTATACTACATCAAATTTCTAGTACAGCTTCAACCATTGCAGAAAAGCATAATAGTAAAATGTCTAATTATCCTCCATCCCCAGGAGATACTTTTCCACCCAGCAAAGGAGCATGACATTTTTGATATTATCAAAGGTCTGAAAAACTCAAACGCAGTCGTAGAAGATAAGTACTGTGATAAAAAAATGTTCTCATTTAATGGCATACCCACTAGTACATATTAATTGTTTCTTGTAGAAGGTAGAGAGGTAGAGATTCAGGCTTCTCGAAGATTAAAATGTTCAGTAGGTGTCCCACGGGGGTCCATATCAGAGCCACTTCTGTATATAGTGCACGTGAACCAAAACTGTATCATGTTTGCTGATGACACCTCATTACTTATCCCTTTTACCATAGTTTCTTGTGATGTGGTGTTTTATGGAGTTCAATAATGCAAGTTCTCTATACATCCTTGAAGCAGGTACAGTCAACTAAATTTTTAGGAAATCATATACGAGCCCCTTCCCACTTCAGTTGGCCCACTTCAAGAATTGTACCAAAATATGCTAAACATGACGAAACTATTTACTTCTAAAACAATTTATTTTCGCAAAAACATTTTAGATACACTCTAGTCGTAAAAAATACATATTTGAAATCACTTAGACCTATAACTAATAGAACATCTGAACAAATAAACAATGTGCGAATAAATGCGCGAAGTTAACAAAGCAACAATTGAAAGATTACCATTGGGTAACATCACCTTTATTTTTTATTACGGCTGAAATTCTTTAAGGCAATAGTGTTAACCAAGTTTTGGCAAAAATTTGGTGTAAAACAATATTTCCCATATTTCTTGAAGCTTTTGTCTCAGTTCGGTGCTTCAATAGGTGACAGATCTGGACTGCTAGAAACCCATTTCAAAAGTGGTACATTATTTTCTTCCATCCATTTTATAGCCTTTTTTGAGGTATGGCACGCTGCACCACCTTGCTGAAACACAAAATCTTGGCCAGATGTCAAACATTATTCCATCACTGGTAAAAGCGATTCTTCTAAAATTGCTAAATATTTGTTTGTATCCACATTTCCATCAATAAAATGAAGTTTTCCTACTCCTTTTGATGACATATTGCCCCAGACCATAATGGATGCTTTTTTGCGAATAACTCTACTGCGACTGTCACCAACACAAACTTCGAATCGGGCCTCATCACTCCATTGTATTGCACACCATTGTTGAGGTGCCCATTGTCTATGTTCTTTAGCCCATCTAAGCCGATTTTTCTTTTGCAGTGGAGTTAATAGTGGCTTTTATTTGGCCTATAAACAAGTTGTGCAACTTTAGGGTTTTTACTTCACTTTTTTTATAAGAAAACTTACCTTGCAAGTGCTAAATCCCAGTTTGTGGGCCAATCTATGAGTTGTAGACCTCGAAATTCTCCTTCCAACAGCGTCACTCCACAGAGCACTTAATTGTAAATAATTGGCACGCCTGTTTTTCACGATTATTCTTCTTAATGCTCTTCGGCCGGCATTTGTGATATTACTTTTTTTTCACATATCGTGGCTTAATATTAACTGAATCAGTTACGTTATATCTTCTAACAATATTTCTCACACTGTACCGCGATAAGTCTAACAAAGTTGCAATTTCTGAGTTTGATTTCCCAGAATTAAAAAATTTAATTATCAGTAACCGAATTTTCTCACTAATAACCTTTCCTCTACCCATTTTGAAAATCTTAACTACCCAAAACTATTTTAAACGTATTCTGATAAAGTTGGTGTTTTCTACTATACTTTGAAGTTGAGTCATTAATTTTCAGATAATGATTGTAGAAGGAAGATAAAACAAAATATGTGTGTAAAAATAAAAAAATAAATAAAAAAAATGTTACCTTGTTTAATAAAGTATCGTCCCGACAAGTATTTCAGTGCGGACCTGTATTTGATCGTGCGGTCTTGGAGCAGCATGCCCTGACCTGTGAGGTCTTAAGTCACCTGATTCACGAGCCCTTTGTACTACATTAACAAAGGCACGAGGGGTTGGTTGCACTCGATTGGGAAACCTACTCGCATAAATCCGTGATGCATCCGGGAGCATTTTGTAAATACTGCCCCCCCGTAAATAAGAATCATGTCCACAAGTTCAGCATTTTCGTAAACATGTGCCATTTTTGATTTCGTTTGAGCCACGCAACAAACACTACTATTCACTAACGCGTTATCGACTGACGAAAAACATCGTGATAAACGTTTCAAATTCTTTCGCTTTTTTGTTTCCGATGCGATGAACCGGTCAGGCGGATTATATCCGTTGTCGCCAAACACGAACATATAATATTATTATTGAGACAGGGCGGTACTCAAACTTTCAAAGGGCTATAACTTTGTTACTTTAATTTTACCAGAAAACTGGTAAAGGAAAAAAACATTTCTTTTGATCAGATCTACTCACTGTTAAAATAAATGACTCAACTTCGAAGTCACCCTGTATATTATCAAAATATTAATTGTTAATGTTTTAAACCTATAACACCCTGCTACATTTTTATTATTTGTGTTTGATAAGAAAAAAACTAAGATTTCAATAGTTGGGCCAACTGAATTGGGAAGGGGCCGGTATCTGAAAACTGTAGCTGGAAGATACAAGTGGAAGAAGCATGCTGGAAAATAGTCCATATTTGTTACTCTCTACAGTATATTCAGAGAAGAGATAGACCGGACATAAACAAGACCACGTGATCATCGAACGCTGTAACATTCGGCAGGGACGTATTAAGAGTCACGCAGTACATATTTTAGATAGTAGATGCTGCTTTGCGTAACTTTGTAGTAAATTAGCACAATTCGATGTGTATACGATTGGTGATGGATATAGGATCATGTGGGGGTGGGGTAAGAAATATATAATGATGTAAATATACATACGGGTTTCAAAATTTTCGCTTCGATTTCCAGCTTCGGATGCCGCCTGATGTTTGGTGAAATACAGTCGAATATAATCTCAAAATGGCGTTTAACTTAGCCTAAATTAAAAATAATCGTATATCTCTTAAAATTGCTTTTAGAATATTGATTAGTATATTTTTTGATTTCTAGGTAAATATGTAACCAAATTAAAACGTTCAAAACGTAAAAAAATGTGCATGGTTGAACATTGCCAGAAAGTAGATTCTTGAATAGGTTTTGCCAAAATGGGTTCAAAAATGTCAATAATTAATTAAAAAATACAGTAGCTTTATAATTACTTATAACTTACCGAATTTGATGAACGACATCTTTTATTGGACAGATGAGCTTGATGAGCTTTCATCATCGCTACTGCCTGAAGCACCAACGTCAATAATGAATGGCTCGACTTGTTCCTCTAAAATATTGTCCAGTTCCCACATTCTCTTTTCAACTTTGCCTTTCACGTGCTTAATACAGTTTTCCCATTTTTGCGCTGTTATTAATTCTAGTGCTTCTTTGAAAAGTCCTTTGAGGTCAC